GGGGGGGATAAAAATGGGGTGAGTTGGGGGTGCCTACCTGCCCTGTGACACCCTGCCCTACCAAAACTGTTACGAACTGACGCCGACCAGCGGGGAGAGGGCAGGGTTCGTCGCCCTGTTCGCACCCCTCGCCCTCGGGCCTTAAGTAAAACGCCTGTTGGGTAGACAGTGTTGCCTGCTAGGCACAAATCACAAATCACTATCTTCTTTCGTTGTATTTCTAGTGGTTTGTTTTGGAACACGCTCGCTCGAGCACCTCCCCGTCACACTTCTCACCTCAGTAGTTTGGTGACATTACCCGGCCGATCAGCCCCAGTCGCGGGGGCGGAGGGACGTGGGCGTGGGCGGGGCTGGTGTGTCGGCCGGGCGGGCTGCACCCTGCACTGGTCCACTTATTACGTGGTTCGGACGCATGCGCGGGATTACCGGCGGGTGGGGCGGGGGCTGCGCGGCTGGTCGAGGTGCTAATTGGAGCCGCGTCAGGACTACCTCTGATGTCACCCGTCGCGCCTGCCGTGCTCCGTCACGCTCGACCGTCAACACTTTCGGCCGCAGGCCGGCACTATAGGAACTTCAAACGCTAACCGAAACATGTGCAAAAATGTGCCATAGATAGATGCCATGTCCTTCCGTCGGCCAAGGTATGCTCGATAGATGCTTGCCGTACTCGACGTGTCACCAAGCGTTGCCAGTCAAGAGTCAATAAGGGTCACTGACCGCCATCGCCCGCCCCGCGCTCCACTGTCAGGGGAGAGCGAGCGAGAGCGAGCGCCGGGTCGGTAGGCAACCTGTTCCCCCAGAGCAGCCCGGTCACGCTGGAGGCCTACCGTTCCGCCTTGCCCCCTCCCCCACCCCATTTCTCACTCTTTCTCTCTGCCTCCCCCCTCTCACTTCACCTCTCCCTGAGTAGTTGCCTACCGTGTCGAACGAAACTTGTGATAGGTCATCCTTGACACGGTATAGACTAAACACTGGGATATACTTGAACTTAACTAGGAGTGAAGCTTTTCTTATTATTGGAAGTCTTCTTCACTACTACCTACTCAGCTACCGCCTGCTGGGTGGACCCTCGGCAGCAGGTAGTGGCGCAACCACCGCAGCAACATCCCGCCCAGAAAAGCTCGCTCCTACTTGTGTTTTACCATGGTCGAAATATCTAGTAGGAGCGAGACGCCGCCGCGGGGCAGGTGGCTGACAGTAACAGGAGTTGGACAAAAGGAGCTGGCATATCCCTGCCTCCCCCGATCCCCCAGCCACTTTCTATCCATGTCGCACAATGGTCCTACCGCACTGTTTGGAAAGACAATAGAAGGGCATCGGACACCTCCAGTGCCCTGACACATTTTTCTGGTTTATCCGATTAGTTAGGAACATGTCGTTTACCTCATCGTTCTCTAAATGGCCGTAGATAATGTCATTATGGTTTGGGAAATCATTTCTGTACTAACGGTACTAACTCGAACACCCCGGTCGGTACGAATGGCAGGCTAACTTGTAAAACAGTATAATAATGCGTGGCCCGGCAATCGTGTTACTAATTGTTACATTCCAACGTAATGGCGTTGTAAACACGCAATACTGCATACTGGTATAATATGATGAATTATATGTGCACTAACGTGCAACGTGTTAAGTCGTACATTACCACCATCACTTTCTCAGGCTGTCCCTGTCCCGTTGACATCCGGACCCTGACTCGGTGCGTGCTGCCCGGCGATGCGGCTCGTTGCGACTTGCGACCAGTTTGACGTCAAAAGCGTCCCGGAACCGACGGACAGAGTGGCAATTGACTGTCTCGTATTTGCTTGTTTCATCTCGGAATACTGTGTACTGTGTACTGCGTACACTATACCGTGTGTCAGGGCTAAGACACAACAGTGTTGCGGGTTTGCCTTTCATAGGGGGGCCATGGCGCCTTAGGGTTAGACCGAGTAGGCAAACCCACTATGCATTGAAAATGCTATAGTCAGATATCTTGATCTTAGGAAAGCGAGATGAGTGACACAAAAAAAAATGTCGCTCTCCTAAGAGCGAGATATCTGACTCTCACTCAATTTGATTAAGAATTTGTGATCCTCGCCCAATGAGAGTGAGGTTCTCCACTGCAATTGGGTGAGGTCAGAGGTCAGGGAAATCTCACTCCTTCAGAGTCCCAGGTAGAACACGTTTGTCAAAATGATGTCAAAATGACCTCATTTTGACCCTCAACGTAAAAATTTACTGCGCCTAGGTAGCCAGAATGAGTTCATTTTGACGTCAAATGAGGGTCATTGACGAGTTTTTGACGATTGTGTTCTACCTGGGGTTAGAATTCGGTGCATATGTGATATATATCAATTTCTTGCCGATAGAAGGTCTAAAATAACGGGCCTTGTTTCTTTAAAGGAAATGAGTTTCTTTTATTCAGTAAATTTGTCATGTGTGTTTCGGATTACCCGATGAGTTTTCTTTTTCAAATATGTTTGAGAGAAACGCTATCTTAGATTCATTGAGCATACTGAATAGTGATAAAGTCAATAACTTATTAGCTAATATATTAGTCCACTGCCATTAGGTTGACATGTGTGGCAGGACTTTGGTGCCAATTAGACACATTAACACCAAATTTGGTCCAAGTATAATATAAACAGGTACAAAATACATCACGCTAGTCTAATATTGTTTGCACTTACGTAGAGAAAAGATCATTTTCATTTGTCAACTCATATTCATAATAAAAACAAACAGAATGTACAATATAAAACTAGTTATACAGGAAAAGAGTCCAGGAGGATGAGATCCATGCACGTTTCGTGAAACAATAGTACAGAACTGGCAAACAGCCTGGGACTATCGAAATATAGCTTGATTTGCGTACGCACGTACGTTACGCGCGTCAGGTTTTTTAATATGCCTTTTCAGCGTAACCAACTAGCAAATTGGGCCAACTAACTGGTGGCTGATTCACGCGCACTTTCTTAATTATACTGCACCCACTCGTGCGGGCGGGTTGCCGACTCGCACGGGGCCAGAAGGAGCACACCGAAACATTTATGGCTCTGAACTACGAATATTTTAATAGAACATTATCCCCGCACTTTATACCATCCACATATTTTTGGTTTGGCCCAACTTGCACGTTAGTTTTGCCCAGAAACGCCACTAAGAAAACATAAACTGACGCACGCGAGTACTTAACTGATGCTCAATTTTTGATAGCCTCCTCAGCCGTTGTCTTAGGCCACATCATTTTCGTTCTAGATCTACATCCTTAGGAATGTATAGATACAAAGAAGTCTTGATATAAGTAATCTATGAACGGCAGAGAAACTGCATTAGCACGCTGGCTTACCTATAAGTAAACAGTCAGTAATACTGTAAGTACATTCAGCCGAGGCTTAGTCTTACTCTAAAACGAGTTATCACAGAAAGAATTCGCACAAATGTGGCCCGAGCAGAAACGCTTCCGTACAAAATTCCCCTTGGCCGACATTCTCGCCTCAAATCACAGTTTGGACCTGATTTAAATCTAAACTTAAAAATATTCAATAAACAAAGTCCACAATAAGTAGAGGGGGACGTATTAAAATTTAGACAATAAATTTTTGAATAGATTAAGTTTTGTAACAAATTAAAAATATTGAAAAATAAATAAATATACAATACATTTCATACAAAAATCAATAAATTACAACGCTATATACAAATCGAACTTTCGGATGCAAGTCTTCGTATACAAATATCCGACCTTGTTATATACACATTTATAAAATTAAAAGTCATTCTCAAAACACACAGCTGTACAGAACAGCGTGATCTTTCGAGTATGATGTATAAATAGAAATAAATAACGTCTTTACAGTCGATGTATAAAATAATAGTAAGGAACAATGTACAAGCCCATATGCCATCATAGCGCCCTGCAAATGAAAATTGGATGACAGGGCGTCAGACTAGTGCAAATGTCTTAAAGTACGATTCAGATCGTACGTTCATCTTCGCGAGAACACCAGTCAGACGCGGAGAGCCTGGTGTCGCACTCTCTGCATGGATGCACGTCGCGCCCTCCTCGCTCGACGTACGCTTGCGCGTACACCTCGGAAAGAAACTAACTACACCGTGTTTGCCTCGGGGAGGCCTTTCATTGGAAAAGCACTTCGAAGCCCAGTCGTCGCCCCGGCCATACCGCGGTCTATGAGAAGTTCCTAGGGCCGCTGTGGGGCTGGTCGTGCCACTTCGCGGGCCTCCAGGGCCGGCCGCCGTTCTGCCTGGCCATCTCCTCCATGAGCCGGCGCCGCATGCGCTGTCGCTCGCGCTGTTTCCGGCGGCGGCGACGTCGCTTCCTCCGCGCCTCCTGCTTGTCCGCGCCGCCCCGGGCCGCTCCGCGGGCTCTGCCCTTGCCCTGGCCGCGGCCCTGGACGCCGTGGGCGCCCTGGACCTCGCCGCCAGGGTGGCCGCGCTGCTTGCGGCGCAGCTGGTTGCGCTGGCGGCCGCCGCCGTGACCGCCGTGCAGGCGGTGTGGCTCGGAAGGGCAGCCCCTGCCGCCGGGGCCCGGGCCGGCCTGGCCCTCCCCGCGCCGCACCTTGGGCGCGTGGCCCAGCTCGCGCAGGATGAGCGCCCAGCCGTACAGGGCGTCAGTGTACGCGGACACGACACCCCAGTCCTGGATGAGCGCGCGCGTCAGGTCCGGCTCCGGGTCCCAGCGGCTCGCGTCCACGCCCGCCAGCCCGTCCGCCGGAAGCCCCGCGGGCGGCAGCGGCAGCCCGCGCTCCTGCATGGTCGTCTCCACCTCGCACAGCATCTGCAACAGAGGTAGCACGTTAGCACATGCCCGTCGAGCAAAGCAAGAGTTGGGGTTGGGGCGAGCACTCCGGTTCGACACTCACCCCTTTGACGTGGCTGGCCAGCTCGTGCATGATGAGCGTTCGGTTGCCCAGGCCGGGCTTGTCGGCGGGGTTCCTCGCCTTCTGCAGCTCCATGAAGGTGGCCGAGAAGTTTTGCAGGGCGGAGCGCAGCGCGGGCAGCACCTGGGCGGCCTGCGAGTCCCTGTCCAGGCACGTGACCTCGGCCCGGTACCAGGGCACCTGCTGCTGTGGCAGCCAGTCGTACGAGTACTGGTCGCGGATCATCTTGACCTGGCCGTACACCTGGTTGATGTTCCTGCGACGGTGCCTCAGGTGCGCCCGCGCCACTCGGATGCCGCTCCTCACTGTCCGCAGGCTCCAGCCCTTGAGCCCACCGCCAAGCGCGCCGCCCTCCATGGAGGGGGAGGGCCAGTCGAAGTCCTGGAAAAGGTGAAGGCCGTGCGTTATGCGGTTGCTCATTGTCCTCGCTCTCGCCCTCGTACCTCGATTATGAGGGGGCCCAGGGGGAGACTTTGTATTCAGTAACACATTTTATTGCACCGGGCGGCTGATTAACCCCGTGCACCGCTCCAGTTATGCTGTACCGCATTCCTACGTGTGGGCCGGTTGCCTACTCGTTTGGTCCGTAAGGCGCCATGGACAGGAGGCAAACCAACCAGCCCGCACGTAGGAAAGCGGTACAGTTCAACTCTAGCCCCAGAACGGCACGGTGTTAATCATCCACCTAATGTAAATATACCAGGTGGCTGATTAACCCCGCCCACTTCTGTAGTTAGACTGTACCGCACGCAGGAGTGCGGGCGGGCTTGCCTATCGCCCCTGTCCACGGCGCCTTACGGGCCGGGCGAGTAGGCAACCCGCCCGCACTCGTGCGTGCGGTACAGTCTAACCACAGAAGTGCGCGGGGTTAATCAGCCACCAGGTATGCACCCTTTAAAGGGGAACGGAGCCATATGAACGTTTGTTTATTGTGAGGAGGAGATTGGGGGCTTCAACGTATTTGACAGTTATTACTTGAAACAACCCGATTAACGATATACTGTAGATTAAATTTAGCTGATGTGGGATCAAAGGCACAAACCTCTGAACTTTGTGTGCGCCTACCCACCCGGTTTTCTGACGGGTACTTTTTTCCACGCCTTGTTTCTACCATGTACCAGGTGGCTGATTCACCCCGCGCACTTCTGGGGGGTTGCCTACTCGCCCGGCCCGTAAGGCGCCGTGGACAGGGGTGATAGGCAAGCCAGCCCGCACTCCTGCGTGCGGTACAGTCTAACCTACAGAAGTGCGCGGGGTAAATCAGCCACCTGGTATGTACCGGGTGTAACTGTGAATACGCAGCAGTGTTGCGGGTTTGCGTACTCTTTACTCCCGTAAGGGGTCGTTCACATACTACATAGTATTGGAGGGGGGGGGGGGTACAAATATTATGGGGTCCCAAAATGATCAGGACCATCATTAGAGTCCGACCCCTAAGGGGCCATGGCCCCTGCGGCGATGTTGAGTATGCAATCCCGCAACACTGCTGCGTATTCACAGTTACACCCGGTACGCTGACCTTTCCTTAGTCTAACCCCCCGCGGGCGGCGCGTTTGCGCCAGGGCCGTGTACTTACGTGCGCGTTCTTGATGGGCCGGTGCGGCCGTGGGTTGCGCGTCGGCGTGGTCATGGGTGCCACGGCGACCGAGGTGCCGCACGGGTTCTGCCAGGGCTGGCGCGCCGGCTGCCGGGCCGGCACCTTGCTGGCCGCGTGGCGCGCGTGGCGGGCGGTGTTCCGCGGCAGCCAGGGCGGCCCCCGCGGCGCCGAGCTCCGCGACGACGAGGACGCCTGGGCCTGGGTGGGCCGGGAGGCCAGCGAGCATGCGAGCAGCACCGCCAGCCCCACCGCGGCTGCGACAAGAAGGAGAACAGAGGCGTAAGGTTATGGAGTTATGGGGCTCCGGCAGAGAGTCAAACAATGTCCGACTATGGGGTTGCTGGGGCTGGTGAGGGAGGGAGGCAGGGAGGGAGGGGGGCACTGCTGCCCGTGCGATGTGTAGTAGACGCGCAACAGCAGCTGTGTACGGCTGTAACCTGACCCCGTCCATGCCGTCTCAGTCACGCACCATGAGAAGCACCTCGTCATCGCCTTTGGCACTGGATCAACATTTTGTTGTCATTTGTTGCTGCTTGTTAGAAGTAATAACAGCAGAATGTGCTGCGCGTCTTCCCCCTTACCCTCCCGTCCGTCCGCCCTTCCGCTTGTTCATTTATACCCCCTCCCCCCCCCCTCTCTCTCTCTGTCTCTCTGTCTATCTCTCTGTCTCTCTCTCTGTCTCTCTCTCTCTCTGTCTCTCTCTCTCTGTCTCTCTCTGTCTCTCTCTCTCTGCCTCTCTCTGTCTCTCTCGCTCATCAGCCCTCTCGTCTCCTCTCTACTCCTCCACCCAAGAATGGTTGCGATGTCAGCGGACGACATTGCCGATGCAGCAGACGACATCAAACAAGTTCAACAATCGCCACGTGACAGCACGTGACGCAGCTGTCCCACGGCGCGACGCCGCGGTGGTGCACGGCCGGCCCCGGGGCCGGGTCCTTGCAATGGCGGCGCACCGCTCGGGTCAAGTGAATGTAGCGGATTGCGAATGAGGATCTTTCCTTTGACGTGTCTATCGGCTGTGCGGCCGGTGCGACGCGCTGCACGGTGCGAGGCCCGTGAGGCGGGCACTTACATAAAGTAACGAGGTTCGGGCGGAGTGATGTAACAGACGGACCCGCGCGCCTGCCTCGATCCGCCAAAGCTGAAGGGCTCATCGCATTAACCCCGCGGTCAACTCGTTCGAACGTCTACGAGCGGACACGTGAGCCGGCTAACTAACGCGTCGTCGGTTGGCAGTGTACTCGGCTTGGGTTTCAGCTCTGCAATTGGCGCTGCCCTGCCCTACCTCGCCTGACGAGTTTTCCTCTCTCCGTCCTTCTCGCTCACGCAGCCGCGTCGCGTGCGACGGAGACGGGCCGATCGTCGGCAGGGCTTGCTTGCAGCCGATTGGCGAGCGGCCGCAGTGCCGGTGCCCCGCGGTGCCCGCTGAGCCGCTGCAGCTCTGATTGGCCGCCCCGGGCGGTGGTCGGGTCCCGAGCGCTGCCAGCCTCCCTCCCGCCGGAGCGAGGACGGGCGGCTCCCGCGTATCACTCGCGGGGGTGGGCTAGCTTACACTCATGGGGGTTGGGCTCGCTCGCGTGTCCGGGGTAGCGCCGTAGGTACTCCGCGCCGTGGTTTGGGGCGTGGCCGGGCCGCGCTGCGCTGAGTTTTAGAATCTCTGGATAAACCTTTCCCCGCGCGCACCCTACCAGCACCGAGAGCAAGGGCCTACGGAACGCTTCTCCAGAAACACAAGTGCTCTGCCGGCCCTCCAGGTCTCCAGCTGCTGCAACAAGCAGCGCCAGGCCTCTTGCTCCAGACAATCACACGTGGGTCAATTACAAAAAAGGGGCCCAATTGCTCCCCGAATTGGGGCGAAAGCTGGAAAAGAGAGCAAAGGAGAAGGATGACAATTATCGAAAGAGCCAGCTGGTCTCTTCTTTTTGCCCGGGGCCTTTTATTTCCTCTCCCTGCGAATTGCAGTGCGGAGAGAGAGACGGAGGGAGGGAGAGGGAGAGAGAGATAGAGCGAGAGAAAGAGGGAGAGAGAGAGAGACGAGGACGAATAGATGGTTTAGACGAGGAGAAGGAGACTGCGGAAAAGAGAGGTGCATGTTCATTTATGAGCGACAGTCAATATTTGCCGGTGCGCCCTGCGCCCGTGTCTCCTCCGCAGGTACCTCGGCATGGTCGCCGCCCACCCGCCCCGGCCTGCTTTTCTATTTAACGTTTCCGTTCCGTTTGACGGCCCTCGTCGCGAGCGAGCAGGAAAGGGACAAGGCGGCGTCAACAGTGAGAGAGACGGACGTATATATCATCTCTAATTTTCCTTTGGAAGCGAGTTGCACCCACAGGGGGCTTGTCGGGCGAGGGGAGGCTGGAAGGTGGCGGAGTGGGTCCAGAGCATCTCGCGTCCCGTCCCGCCCTGGGTGGACCATTATTCCGCGTTTACTGACACGCAACTGCACTGCAGTGCCGCGCGTCACGGTGTCTCTGTGCGTGCCGGTGTGAGTGCGTGTGTGTGTGTGTGGTGTACGCATGTGTGTCTGTGTGCGCGCGCAACCTTTCGTGTGTTCATTACGCCGGCTACCGCGCGCCGATCACGCCGAAATCACAGAGTATGAGCAGAAAAATTCCTTCGAAATTAACTCCCTTCTTTTGACACCACCACCGGACTCCCTTTCCGAGCCGGCGTCCTGGTCCACCAGCTTTCCTTGGGCATGCCCCCGACTTCCCCATGTTCTTTTGACTCTCGGGCGTTGAGTTTGCCACCTCCCGGGGGCTTAGTCGTCAATAACAACATGAACGAGGGTTTTAGCGACGTTCACGATATGGGTAAAAACGTATAGGGTGCGCTGGCGCTCGGGACTCCACAGATCAGATTTGTGTTAACTGATTTCTACACGCCCTCAAAGTAAAATTAAACAATTATGAAAACTACCGCAAACCTCAAGTGATGTTTAAATTACAAAATTTGAGTGATTTTGTCAAAGGATGAAAGAGAAAAATCTCTGTAAAAGGGAGGGGGGCGGAGAGGGAGATAGAGAGAGGGAGAGAGAGGGAGAGAGGGGCAGATAGAGACAGAGAGACAGAGAGAGTAGGGGATGCGTGCGTGGCAGGGTCAGGACTTCAATCACGTCCTGATGTCTCCTCATATTACCCGCGTCGCCCCTGCGACTGGGTAATAATAACAAGTTGGTCAAAAGTAATAAGGAATCTGTCCCGTCGCTCCATTAGGAGGGCATGGGCCCCGCGGCCCCGGCGGGCCCGGGCGGGCCCCGGTGGGCACCACGGGCCGAGAGCCGAGTTCCTAGAACGGCTAGCAGCAGCATGCTGGGCTGCACTCTCTCACGACGCCCCTCCGCCGCCGCGCCACGCCCCGCCACGACACGATAGGAACGCGGCTCGCGTTGGGGGCCCCGGAGGTGCATCGCGGCCTGATTGGCGGGGGCGGGGGCGGGGGCGGGGGCGGGCGTGTGTAGCCCGTGTCACACGTTTACAAGTGCGATACGCCTGATGCCTATCGCCTTGCATAATGAGGGCGCGGACACGGTCGTGGCCCGGCTGGGCTGCGCTGACTGGCAGTCCTCTATCCGTCTATTAGCGCTCTGGCGATGCCATCGCAGGGGTGTTGCCAATCAAAGGCAGAGCAGCGTGAGAGGCCGAGGCGACAGGTGCCGTGCCATGCCGTCCCGCCCCCCGCCGTCCCGGCCCGACCCGGCCGCGGCTGACAACCGCGTCACGCGCCTTCGCGGGGCCTCACAACAGCGGTCCGGAAGTAGTACCGGAGCGCGGCGACGACGAGGACCTATTTTCGGTCGACTTGCCCGCGGTGCACGCCGCGCCGCCGACGCCTCCCGCGCGCCCGCCTGCCTAGCGGCAGCCGCCGTCACGAAAAATAATTTCAAATGGATGCCAATGGCCAACAAGTTTTATTAGATTATTGAGCTGTCGGCTCTCCTGTTACGCGCTTCTTAGAAAAGGACTCTGGGCTCCACGATTCACTCTCTCCTCCCACTCCCCCTTCCCCATCTCTCCACTACGGCCCA